CTTAAATGTTCAACATTTTATATTGCAATTTTATTCCCACCTACAAATAAACAATATTTATAACACCAATTTAATTTGCAATTACTGCAGTCCTTCATTTTATTCATATAACTTTTTAATAAAGAAAATTCTAAAACTATACACAAAGCAAATAAACAATTGGACCTACGTTTGAACAACTGTTATAAATTAAATCATTAAATTTAATATAAATTTATATTCCAGTAACATTCAACATTTTATGTTGCAATTTTATTCCCACCTACAAATAAACAATTAGATTCACAATGAAACAACTGTCACAAACTAAATCATTAAATTTAATGTGAATTTATATTCCAAATTTTATATTGCAATCTTATTCCCACAATAATTTATAATCTTATTCCACACAAATAAATAATATTTATAATACCAATTGAATTTACAATAATCAGTCATTCATTTTATTCCCACCTACAAATAAACAATTAGACTCTCAAATAAACAACTGTCACAGAATAAACAATAAAATTCAAAATAAATTTATATTCCACTAACATCCCAAACTTTAATCTCAATTCTATTCCCACCCGCGAATAAACAATATTTACACCACCGTCCGCAGTCCTTCATTCAACAGCGCAGTACGCTCGCATTCCGCGCATTCATTCCGACCGCGCTGCGTCCTGAAAACTGTCGCGACTCCGTCGAGAGCCGCCCGAGAGGCACCGATCGCCGAAACTCCCGGAGCGCATCCCCGAGCCGTTCTCACGTAGCAAAACACGAAGCCAAACCGTGAATTCCCAGAAAACCCATGACAGCGCCGAAAAGCGAACAATCGCTTCGAAGACAAACCTCGAGACGGTCCGCGACACGGTATCAATCGATACAGCGGGTTAATAGGTCACTCGGGCCGTCGGTCGAAAAAAACGGCGGAAAAAGAGAAAACACCGGAATACATAAGGCTCCGAGAACGAATCGCGGACAGGCGCGCCAGGGACACGGGCGGACGGCCGACGGCACACACGTATACGCACCTCTCATTTAATCCGTCTCGGCTGCGGAACCGACTGCTGCTGCTGCTGCTGCTGCCTGGTCTCGCGCGACGCGACGCGCCAGGGCGTGCAGAGGCGCGCGACAAAGCGAGGTCTCACTTCACCTTGGCACTATATTCCACTGGAATTATATCACAATTGTCATAACAAAAGAACACGTACGAACATGGCTCTGGTGACGGGCGATTATTCCGACCGCGGCACTTTCACGGCGCATCTTGGTGCACCCCGTCCGCCCCGCGCATGATCACACCGACCAGCTAGCCGGAAAGCCTGGACACTCCGCCGTTCCCTACGCGAACAACCGTCCACCGTACGCCGCTACGAAGCCACCGATTTTTTCACGGGAAATCCGCATTCGACCCGACGAAAATACACCACTAACAAGTGTCAGCCATCTTGTATTCGAGCGAACCACGACCCGACGTCCCATGGTGCATCGCGACCGCGGTGCGACTCGCCGCCGCTAGAGTGAGTCGTGGATGGGAATGGAGGAGCGCGATTGGTGGGTGCGGTGGAGGGAGGGGTTTGATTGGTCGAGGCGAACGCGCTGGATTTTTCGCTGCGTCCTCGCGATTCGTTTGAACGCCGCTCGCGGGGATTTGAATTACGACGTTTTGAAGGGGCCGTTTGGAATTGTTGGATTTTGAGAGTTTTTGGGGATTTTGGTGGTTTGGTGGGTTGGTTTTGGAGGAGGCGTTGTGATTGGTTAGGTAATTTGGAGTTGGAGTATTGTTGATGTTTGTGATTGTTGAATTTTGTTTGGTATGGTGAGGAATTGTAAGTGAATAATTTGAAGTTTTAATTGAAATGTCGATAACTACGCAAGTAAATATATAATAGTGTAGTATATTTAATTTATTTATAATTCATGCGAACAGTTACGTGGAGGTATTTTGCTGTCTGGGATTTATTGGAATTCTACGTTTTGTTGAAGGCATTGTAATTAGTAAGATAATATTTAATTTGGAGTTGGAGGAATTAGTGTTAATGTTTATTCAAGCGAACAGTTAAGATACTGTAACATTGCAATTTACGGGAAAAGATAAGGTGAGAAATATTTAGAAACACGCTAGTTTATTTTCATTCATTTTGAATGCAAACCATTGTTACTTATAAAATAATAATTGTACTTTATTTAACCTTTAACTTTCTTAAATACAAACATACAATTCGTTTTTGGTATGCTGCAGTTAATATGTATTTAAATACATTTTTAAATATTAAATATATCAGTGCTAAAATTACATGAAATAAATAGAATTGTGCGAAATTGTAATGAGCGTTATACTAATTACTATTAAATGTATCTTCGATTTAATACAATCCGTGCTACTTAAGAAAGGATAAAAGAAATCGTACGGCAAAGTGAGATCTAAATTAGGACCACCTACGAAATAATATTTGGACGGCTTTGATACATCGTGGAATGTTACATAGCTAACGATATCTACTTTCAGTACGTTTATACAATTATCAGTCAGACAAGCTGTCCACGATACATCAGACTCATTAGAAAAGTAAATACCTACTCCTTGTACATTATAATTAGTCAGTGTCTCTGGTTTCGTTAAAGCAGAATATAATACATGTAAATGAACAGAGGTTATCAATCCTGAACAATGTAAACGATCATTGATTAATTTCCCTCGTACGATATTCTGAGGTACTCTGTCGAGTAAAATTTGTGCCCAGTCAGCTGTATCATTGTTGCTAAAATTGCCTGTCTTCGAAACATAAATACTGTACTGATCAGTTTCAGTAATATTAAACATAGAATCTCTCATCAAGAAATTCATAGTACGGTTCTGTAACTCCATACAAGACGAAGTATTAAAATTGTCAGTATGTAAAGATACAGAGCATCGTAACTTAATATCTTCTCCAAAATAAACAGTATACCTGTTTATTTCACTACATTCACCGCTTCTACTGGCGACAGGTAACGTTAAGAAACTGTCGTTTTTATTAAAAATGATACTTTTAATATTATTTGTTTTATTCAAAGTACCAACGATCAGTGGCTTTTCTATCATATAACCTGGATTGCCGCTGAGAGAAAAACTCTTTTCTTTATCCAAATCAGACCATTCGTAAACTACTTCAAATTGTTGATAAAAACTTTGAGAAACATTACCTATAGCAAAATACACATTCACACTGTTAATTCCCATCGAACCGTTATGAACAATCAAATATCTCACACTGGTAACAATATTGTAACACGTTTTGTTGGTACAAAAGCCTGACAGAACAGTGTCGTTGCATTCTTTCCACGAACGTTTGCAATAATAATTATTTAATGTTAAACACACATTCCTGGGACAGTTCTGTAAATGAATACTTGATATCATTTTTCTTGAAAATAACAGTTACGTGTTAATAGTGTATATTAATACGTTGTAAGTACCTGATCTGAAGTCTCGATGTAAGTTTCATTTAATAGAGGTGGTGAGGTAACGACAGTAAAATTATTAAATGCCAATGGAAAGAGAAACTTGTTGCTATTATTTAATTCAGTCTGTAAACACTCATCTTTCCACTGACGAAGGTATTTTAACGTTTTCTTAAATGTACATAGATTGGTAAATCCAGATTGTACGATTTCTGAAATGTGTTGTAAACAAATTCTTTCAGTTTCCTTTACAAAAGCCTAAATAATAAGTACAACAAAATTAGTTACATAATAATATATACCGAAAGGCTGAATGTAAGTATCCTGTATTATCCATACGATGTCATCATCTTGATAAGAATTAGAGGTATTATACTCAGGTACATGTAATTGGTCTTCCCATTTCCATTTCAGTCTATTTGGTTTCATTGCAGCCCGTAAATCTTTTTCAGTTTTTATATTCTGCGTAAAATTGAACACTTTGTAAAGCATGAATGATTAAATATATTTATTTCATTTATATCAAGATCTTACCAAGTCATTCGTAACGCTGTATGTAGGTGGGAGATTGTCGTACAGAATGCAAAATAGATTGCTTGCTAATTTTTCAAGTATGAACGGTGTGTTATTCCGTTGTATAAAATTCCTATTATAACAGTAACGTTTGTCAAACAGATCTGCTTGATGATATGTACAGTGTGAAAAAGCTTGTAAGTGAAAATCGTTGCAATCTTTGTCACAACAGCAATTAATGTCACAGGACGATACCTTTCATATAAATAAAGATAATGAAAATAATAAACGATAATAATCATCGAGTGCCTTATTTTATTCCAATAAACATAGGTTGTCACGAAGTGTCAACTTACCACCAAATTGCACTCGCAAATGTCAGATTGTATTTTATGCACAGACCGATTTTTCATCTCAATATTTGCTTTCATTTCACGAGGTCTTTGCGTAGTTGTCGTTTGAATCCTTGTACTCTCCGTTGGATCTACAGGATTACTGGAACTCTCGCTAGTTGAAATATAAGTGCTTTTAATTGTATTAGTCAGCGATTCTTCCACAACGTCTTTTTCCAATAAATCGTTACAGTCTGTTTCATTCTGACAGGTAAATATTTCTTCAATTTTCTTTGCGTACATTACTTCGTTGCATACAAAGTAAACACACGTTAATGTAAATGCCTTTCCAATCATATCGACAGCTTTGTATTTTTTAGTCTTCTTTTTATCTGTACTTTCAGTTCCTTAATTCATAGTCCTTAATAAATAAATAACATTCGAATATATATTTACATATGACACCCATATTTTTCGAAACATCTTGTAATTATATATAATTCTATCTTGACTGTTCCCATGCTTTCAGTAAGTAATTCAAATCTATCCAAAGAATTAACTAAAATATTCGGTGATTTCAATTGTAAAGTTACTCCCAGAAATTTGTCTCTTAGTCTGTCTTTCCAGTTACCTACACAAATATTTATATTAGAAATGTTATATGCTTAAACTAGTAAAAGAATCTATATTTTCAACACGGTGAATGCTGTGGGGTCACTGGTGACCCCCAACCAGATCGAACGACTACAGTTCATTCGATTAAACGATTATTTGTAAACATTTCTACGTTACAAATACTACTATCTAATGCAGTGACGTTCAGCTTAACCAATATACAATAATAATGCAATTCAATCCAATGATTTAATATTATATTTTTTCGATTTCATGTATTTTGCTCTATGGAATTGTGCGGCATTCAACGTGTTAAAAAATAATTAATTTACCGATTGGTTTCCATGTGTGACATTCTAAGGAATGTAAACCAGGGGATAAAGGAACATTACAAATACCATACGACGTAAATAATACTCTGTCATGTGTGTCTCTACAAAATATTTGCAGCAAAAGCTTCGGTGAATTCTGAATCGTTTGCGTAGTGTAATGTATATCTATCGGATGATCCCAAAATGGTTCATTTGTATACGAATCGCAACTTTCTTGCGTCTGTCCTTCTTCGCAACCATTCAACACCTTCCAACCGTTACCTAAATTAAATAAAAACAAACTTCTCATTTACAGAACAGTAAATTGTTAATTCGTCATACAACAAATAATATTACCAGCATGGAAACTCCACTTGCATAAAAGCCGGGACTGTTTAAAATTGACTGCAGACGAAATTTGACCAATTATGTGTACTTCAGCCATTCCACAAAATCATATTGTTTTGTTTTTATCAAAATTCATAAATAAAATATCAAATTCTCACAATCTCCAAATTGCAGTTTTCAACAGAATTTATAACATAAATCCATTATTATCCAAATGTCTTTTTCAAAGAAGTAAATATTTATTATATGTCATCAAACTTTGCCTTTATAATATATTATGTATAAATAAATTTGTTACTGACATAAAATCCTTGTAAACTTCTCATTAAATTTTTGATCACAAACAATCCTTCTAGAAACGAAACTCAGCCATTAAAAACACTGAAGATTATAGTGTTTTAAAACAAATTTCTAGTGCGCATGCGTACAAGCATAGACGAGGTATAGTATATATAGTGTCACATGTTCTGTATTACCAACTGTGTAAAAAATCAGAAATTTTATATTATGTTTATAGTTAAATTTTATATTTTATATATTTAATAATAATATATTAACTTTAATTCTAATTTTCTAATTTTTATCAAATAATTAAAAAACGCCCATTTCAGTTTCATGAAAATGTTTGATATTAATTTTAGTAATATTAAAAAAATTAGTTAAAAAATGGAATGATTTTACTTGGTGTTTGAATTTCGTTCTTAATTTCTACTTATCGATGGTTAGAGTTCTGAGGCTATGTTCACATCTGTACTTGAACACATGTGCACTGGAAATGAATTTTATAGAAACGCCAAATTTGCCGCACTAACACGTGTTGTTGTATAAAAATGCTTTTGTTTATAGATAGTTAGGTATACGTGTAAATATCTAGTAATTTAACAAAACTTTTAAGAAATCGTTAGACTTAATTTAAACGTATTTAGGAATTATCTAATTGTGTGAAAATAAAAGCCATTTAACAAATATTGTAATATACAAATACATCAAAAAAGGTAATGACATTTTCTTATGGTATCATGCTTGTTTATATTTTATTGTTTCAATCACTTTGTAATATTGTGACTTTAATGTATTCGAAGATGAATGTGTATGGTAAACGGTAAATTTTATCTGTTTTAGACAAAATGTCGAAATCAAAGACTGCGACTAAACCTCCTCGGAAGGAGGGGTTCAATCGTTCTAAACACAGTATGAATCCAGACCGACCTACGGAAAATTTGAAAGGTGTAGCGAAAGTACGGTCGAAAGCAACGATTAAAAGGTTGCAGATGTATCGTTGTCAGAAACCGAAGCGCGATCGCACTGGTAAAATACTTAGACCAGCGCCGTTCCAAGGATGGCAACCTTCTGGTTCTATGTCTCGCATAGAACCTTCGCAAAGATGGTTTGGTAATTCGAGAGTAATATCTCAAACTATGTTGCAAAAGTTTCAGGATGAATTAGGGAAAGCTATGAAGAATCCTTATAACGTTGTTATGAAGCCAACACAATTACCGGTAACTATGCTTCAACAGCAGGCCGTAAATGCAAGAGTACATTTATTGGATACAGAAAGTTTTGAAAGTGTTTTTGGCCCAAAAAAGTTAAGGAAAAAACCGAACATAGAAACATCAACGTACGATGCGTTACAGAAATTAGCAGAAGAGAAAGCAGAAGTATATGATAAAGAAAAAGACACAAAAGACGTGGATCTCGTACGTCCCGATACTGGTACCAAAGATGCGCAAAGAGATTGGATTATGGGAGCAGGACAAAGCAGAAGAATTTGGAATGAATTATATAAAGTGATAGACTCGTCTGATGTTATTTTACAAGTTTTAGATGCAAGGGACCCTTTGGGAACCAGATCTCCTCCGATAGAAAAGTTTCTTAAGACAGAAAAACCTCACAAACATTTAATGTTTATTTTAAACAAAGTAGATCTCGTACCGACATGGGTTACGCAAAGATGGGTAGCTATTTTAAGTGCAGAATACCCGACAATAGCGTTTCATGCCTCAATGACGCATCCATTTGGTAAAGGTTCATTAATAAATCTGTTAAGGCAATTCGCAAAGTTACATATAGATAAGAAACAGATTAGCGTGGGTTTTATTGGGTATCCTAACACAGGAAAAAGTTCAATTATAAATACTTTAAGGTCGAAGAAAGTATGTAATGTTGCGCCAATAGCAGGTGAAACAAAAGTATGGCAATATATTACTCTGATGCGACGTATTTATTTAATAGATTGTCCAGGTGTAGTATATCCTTCCGCAGAAACTGATACAGAAAAGGTTTTGAAAGGTGTAGTGAGGGTTGAGCTTGTTCAAAACCCAGAAGATTATATTTCGAGTGTCTTGTCACGAGTAAAACTAGAATACATACGAAAAACTTATAAAATACCAGAATGGGACGATCATATGGATTTTCTAGAGAAATTAGCTCATAAAAGTGGGAAATTGTTGAAAAAAGGAGAACCAGATATTACTATTGTTTCGCGCATGGTTTTAAATGATTGGCAACGGGGTAAATTACCTTTCTATGTTTCTCCTCCTGGTTTTGAAGAGCCGTTACTACGGACAACAGACAATAATGAACTTCCCATAGACAACAACGATACTGGTAAACAAAATGACAATGTAGACACAGAACAAACAGAAAGTAAAGAGGAAAAAGAACGGTCGAAGCCTCAATTATCTGTCTTACAAGATTTCAGAAAAATAAGAGTCGGTTTACCATATTCAGGCGATGATATAAAAAATGATTTATACATTGAATCCGATGATGTCGTGAGCAACAAAGAAGATAGTTCAATTCTTTCAGACATGAATGTTAACGATGAAAGTACAGATAGGTCTATTATAGAGTTTGAAGAAAATGAAGAAGAAGAAGAAGAAAATGAAGAGGATATAGAAAACAGTAAGAATATAGAGGTTGAAAATCACGAAGAAGAGGATAGTGATTGCAGCGACGAAGAAATTTCTCTACCTTTAGAAAAAGATACTTTATTGCAAAGTGTGTACGATGCAGTAGAGGAAGAGTACGATTCCAGTGACAGTGAAATGTTAAATTCAAATGCTGTGTCTAGTAGCGGTGCATTCAAAGTTTCTTCTACGTCCACCAAAACCAAGAAACTAACAGAGGCAGGAAAGAAGTTGACAAGTAAACAGCGTAGAGCTATAGAAAGAGCAAATAAACGAAAGAAGATTGGCAGCAACTTTTACGAAGTTACTAACGTAAAGAATCGAAATAGGAACAGAAGAATTCCTAAAGTTAAAAAATGAAATAGTTAATAAATAATGAAAACACATTGAACAGGTTGAAAATATTAATATTGTATTAAATGTTATTGAAAAAATATAGAATTTGTTAATACAATGTAATGTATATTCGACTCTAGCTTTAACGTTCTGTATGTAAAAAATTTCTCTGAAAGTAAACCTAACGAATCAATTTTTTTAAATTATAATAACATATCAACTTTGTACATAACGCGTGTATTTTATACAATAAATATATTTATAGCAACGAAACGATAGTTTTCCAATATTTTGAATTGTAATGTTATGCATAGTGCAATGTAGTTCCCCTTTGACACTGCAGAGGTCTATCGTGTTTGACATTCGTTTCACATTGTATATAAAGTATATGTATCTATGTACGTTTCTTAAATGCTGTAAAAAATGTGCATACAATTAAATATTATATTTTTCACGTGACAGTATATTTATCTGTTTAAATAGAATAGTTGTACTTGTTACTTTTGCAAAGGAGTCGTTCGAGGAGGGGTTATAAAGGTATCGAAAAGAAAATTCACACTTAGCCTGTAGATATAAATATAAATGTAAATATACGTATAATAAAATTACAATAATTCTACTCGCTTTTCAATAAAATAACGATCGTTCGTTTTCAGCAGTGGTTCTAACACATTCAAAATGAGGAGTCGCAGTAATTCCGGTGTTCGTTTAGATTATTATCAACGAATAGTTCATAAAATTATTATGAACCATCAAAATGCAGTCACAGGTCTTTTTCCTGCGAGCCCTGAAAATGATCATGCTTGGGTGCGTGACAACATATACTGTATTCTCGCCGTGTGGGGACTTTCAATGGCGTACAAGAAAATAGCCGACGCAGATGAAGACAGAGCAAAAACGTACGAATTGGAACAAAGCTGCGTTAAATTAATGAGAGGTTTACTGATGGCAATGATGCAACAAAAAGAAAAAGTTGAAAAGTTTAAATCCAGCCAAAACCCGCACGACGCTCTACACGCTAAATATAGTTCTGTTAATGGACAAAGCGTCGTTGGCGATACGGAATGGGGACACCTTCAAATAGATGCCATATCTCTTTATTTACTTGTTTTAGCGCAAATGACAGCGTCTGGTTTACAAATTGTTTTTAATTTAGATGAGGTAAGTTATTCGTATTGTGTACAAAACTCGTAATGGGATGACTACAAATTTATGCAACACAATTTTAGGTAGCGTTCATCCAAAACTTAGTATTCTACATCGAATCAGCTTACTGCACTCCTGATTACGGGATTTGGGAAAGAGGAGATAAAACGAATCATGGTTTGCCCGAGCTGAATGCTAGTAGCATCGGGATGGCCAAAGCTGCGATGGAAGCAATGAATGAACTGGATTTATTCGGTGCAAGGGGCGGACCAACCTCTGTAATTCATGTATTAGCTGATGAAGCACAAAAATGTCAAGCAGTTTTACAATCTATGTTACCACGTGAATCGAATTCAAAAGAATTAGATAGTGGATTACTACCAGTTATAAGTTTCCCAGCGTTCGCTGTGGACGAACCTAATTTAATTCAATTAACACGCGATGCTATTACTAAGAAACTGCAAGGCCGTTATGGGTGTAAAAGGTTTCTAAGAGATGGATATAAGACTCCAAAAGAAGACCCGAACAGGTAGATAAAATATATTAAGAAATATTTTCAAATACGACATTAATTAATATTTACTAATAAATTTTCTACGTTTATGTCAGGCTTTATTATGAACCATGGGAATTACGTATGTTTGAAAACATAGAGTGCGAGTGGCCCCTATTTTTTTGTTATTTAATTGTGGATTATTGCTTCCAAGGAAATAAAGAAGCAGTAGCAGAATATACAAAACAGTTAGAAGATATAATGATTAAAACCGACGATGGAATGAAATTAGTACCTGAACTGTATTCTGTGGAAGCTGCAAATGTATCAGCAGAGTACGCTGAGCCGGGTAGTCAAAAACGAATTGCATTAGGCAGATGCCCATTTATGTGGGCTCAGTCGCTTTATATATTAGGAAAATTACTACAAGAAGTAAGTACGCAACGTTAAAAATCTATGTGAACAAAAATTAAATTTGTCTTCTTTGACGATAGGGTTTTCTAGCTGTGGGAGAATTAGATCCACTGAACAGACGTTTATGCAGCGAAAAGAAACCAGACGTTGTAGTGCAAGTTGTGATATTAGCAGAAGACGCAGAAATTAGGGAAAAAATAGCTCAACACGATATCCATGTACAAACAATCGCAGAAGTGGCTCCTATAGAAGTGCAACCTGCGAAAGTACTCAGTCATTTGTATACTTATTTAGGTACGCTCGAACAATGACATTTCTGTGTTGCATAATTCCTTCGCCTCTTGTCCAACTAAAGACGATTGACTTTTCAGGCCGAAATAAAAAATTAGGCTTGTCTGGACGTAAATCAAGGGACGTAGGGATTTTAAGCACCAGTAAATTGTATTCGCTAAACGATAAGATATTTGCATTCACTCCGCAGGTAAGTATCCTAAATACACATGGAACTGTCCGCTCTTCTATACTTTTTTTTATTTCTTTTCTTACGTTGCCTCTTGTTCTTGCATCAAATATTAGTTGACAGACATGACCCGCTTCTACATCGCATCGGACTATGAGCTCATGATTGACATATTCAAAGGCGAAATTAATTTCTTGAAGTCTAGCTGGCAGAACATGTTAGGCCGTCCTCTTGTGGTCATGCCCCTCAAGAACATTCATCTAGGTACAGTAATTTAATGTTTAAAAACCATACCTTTCGTCTGTGTTACTTCTTCCTGAACGCATGAGAGAGAAGTGATCACGCTAGAATTATCTACAATATTAGCTGTAAAGTAACGGAGATCAAATCTATGGTTTTTAGATATAGATGATTTTTTCTGGAACTCTCTTTTTCCTTATTGAAATTATGTAAATACATTTATCTGAAGAACATCTAACATGTCTGCCTGCATGCGTGCATCTGTTTCTTGTTTTAAATTTTGCTTAGTGGCTATGGAAGGTTTCTATGTAATTCAGTCAGCTGATATCTTAGCGTTTCACTAGCTATTCAATTTCATCCCGTGATTTCTAAGTGTTGTGTTCATATACCATCATGTTTACCGTGAGCGACATCTGTTAATGTTAAAGAATTTCAATGGAGACAATTCAGTTGAAATGAAGGGAAGAAAAATGAAAGCAGTTTTATGGAGAGATCGTTTTTCTCTCTGATATATTATCTAACAGTCTGTGAGGACAGCTTATGTATGCTATGGTGTGCGCGTTTGTTGCATGTCTTAGAACTTTGACGCGGAGGAGTACTACACGACAAACGATGCAGCCCTCCTTACCAACAATTTTACCACCAATATGGCATTCCTCACCATCACCTGGAAGCAAATGCTCGGCAGGCCAACTATAACCCTTGTCGCTACTCATAATCATCTAGGTACGCCATAGGCAGCTTTAGATCATCAGTCAGGATAATGTTTAGTCAGAGTGTCCTAATAAATGGATAAAAATGTCCCACGAGTAGTGTACATCCAAAGAATAACATAGAAATACATTGCTTTCTTCGCTCTTATGATGATCAATGTCAGTTTTGTGTTTTTCTATATACATTGCTGTTTCAGATCAAGGGAAAATACCATTGGCCATGATAACTACTATGAAGAAGTTGAAAAGTGGTTACATCAATGGCACACGAGTTTCGCTGGGGAATATGAATGACTTTCTGAGCACTTCGTGTATTACAAATTTAAGCTTCTTGGGAAGCTCCGAAGATGGGAAACCAGATAAGTTAAATCCTCAGGTACGGTAGATTGAATTTGGAGAATATTTAAAGTACACATTAGTATTATACATTGTATTTAATTAGGTTCAACAATATTTGGAAGAACATCTCATGCGTGCATTTCCACATCGTACTGGTCTTCTTAACAGGCCAGTAGTACGATCTGGAAAGAACTTGAAACGCAAAATGTCTGTTAAAGGTGCCATAAAGAAAACAAGATCCATTGCTGTGGAACGTGAGTTGTACTTAATATAACAATACAATAACATCAGACACCGTTTAAATCCTTAGCGCTCTGGTTGCATGCTTTATAAAATGGATGCTTAAGTGTTCATACAATATATCCCTACAGCTACGGTTCCTACCATCCTCCAAGAATGTAAGTGTAACAACTGATAGTAACTAATTCCCAAAGTTAACTAACAGGAAAGATTAATAACAAATTGAGGATCAAGCTTATCGGTCGTTAAAGTAATTTGAAAAAAACAAACTATGATTTGTAGCTGAAATTCTTGGAATGGCAGGAGAGGAACGAAGGCCTTCAACTATTTTAAGCACGAATCCATTTATTGAAGTGACAGATACAACATTATCCCCTACTTCTACGCAATCAGCTCCAGTTGATCGTACGCCATCTCCCACGGATGAGATTTTGTCTTGGGCGAACTGTACTAGGTTACACAGACACAGAGGTTTAGGCGAAACACAGTACGCAGACACAGAAGTTGAAGAGTTATTGTCTATGCTTAGAGAGACTGAAAGTTTAGAAGAACAAGGAGATATTCTGCAGTATCTTGTAAGTTTCATTCGATCTCTCATTCTTAGAAACATCTTACAAAATTCAGAGTAAAAGAAATTCATTTTACCAGTTAAACAAATTTATTAAATTCAACGTAAAGCGAAGTCTTGATTAATTTAATTTAAAACTCTAATTTTTTACTTAACTGTTATATACACATAGGGTGTATCTAATAACTGGGACAGGTATATCTCTTTCCTCATTAAAGTTCAAAGAAAATTGCAGTGGAAATTTTTATCCGATTTAACAAACTCTATAATATTGCAATACAGATTTTTCATAAGTACATTGATGCAGGTTTTTTTTTTAATGAAACTATGTATTTTTTTACATTA